GGGGGGGGGGGCAGCAGCCCAAAGGGGTCACTGGGCATCATTGGGGTAAGCAGTGAGGAGCAGGGGCCTGGGGACTCCCCTGTGATCATTTAAGAAAGCCTTCTAGCCCTTCTAGCCCTTCTAGCCCCAGTGTGGCTCATTTGGTTGGAGGGTTGTTCCATACACCTAAACGTGGTGGGTTCAATTCCCAGTAAGGGCACATACCCAGGTTGCAATCCCCTCTTGGGGAGTGCATGGGAAGCAACTGATGGATGTTTCTCTCTCTCTCTCCCTCCCCTCTTCTTTCCTCTCTCTGGAATCAATTAGAAAAATAATGATAAAATAAAAAAAGAAAGAAAGCCTTCTAGTGACCAAGGAAGAAGCCCAATGGCCTAGCAAAGTCTGGTGAATCACATGGCCAGCTGGGAGCCATTGAAGGGGTCAGCCCAGCCCCCACAGCAGCTGGCAGGAGTGTCAGGCCTGAAAGGCAGAGCTGGGGAGCAGCCAAAGCCCTGAGCGCATGGTGGGGGAGGAGGCAGAGGACAACAAGCTAGCCCCAGGGCTGGAGCCACCAGGCTCAGTGTGGGAGGGCAGAGGCCTGTGGACAGTGGCAGGCTGAGTCAGGGGGCATCTGAGTCCTGGGAGAACGGGTGCAAGGGGCTGGCGACCAGACCTGGGAGGTGGCACAAAAGGGCAGGCCTGAGACAGACAGGACTTTCTGGTTCCTTCTAATAGCAGCCCAGGCATGTCAGATGGGTGTGTGGCAGCCATTGCTCTCTTCATGGCCTTGACAGGGAGTGGAAAGTACTTGTAGGGCCTCCAAGCCCCCTGGGAGGAGGAGAGGGGGAGACACACGTTTTGAACCCTAGGGTCTCTGGTATCCCTGTGATTCCTGCCTGTCTCCGCCAGGGGCAGTGGCTAGCAGGGAGTACTGAGGATTCATGCCACAAGGTCCAGTCAGTACCTTCTCTGCAGGAGGAAGAGCCCCACAGCCAGGGAAGGCTGAGGACAAGGCCCCAAATGCTCAGTTCAGATGAGGGAACCAAGGCTCAGAACAGTGAAGTGATTCCCCAGGATCACAGAACTGGCAGGTTAATGTTACCACCAGAATCGAGGCCTTCAGGGTCCTGGGTATGTGTCCTCTATGTTATGCTGTGTTCTTTCTTTTCCTTTTTTTCTTTTTTAATTCATGATTCTTAGAGAGGAAGGGAGAGATTGAGGAACGTCGATTTGTTGCTCCACCCATTCATGCATTCATAGGTTGATTCCTGCATGTGCCCTGAATGCATGTGCCCTGACTGGGGATTGAACCAGGGATTGAACCCGAAACCCTGGCACATGAGGACGATGCTCTAACCAACTAAGCTACCTGGCCAGGGCATTTTATGCTGTGTTCTTTATGCCTCTTATGCCAAATGAATGTCCTCCAGGCCTGATGTTCCCCTCTGAAGTGGCCGAGATGCGGGCTTGGGAAGAGCTAAGGAGGAGGTCCCTCGAAGGCCCCTATTAGGGACGAGCCCTGATAGAGTCTGGGCCCCTTGACAGAGCCACCACCTCCCCCTAGAGCATCTTCCAAGGGGCGGACCTTCAGGATCCCACAGGAAGCACCCCCGGATCCAGGTCAGCAGACAGCCTCAGAGCCTCTGATGGAAGGAAGAACTGGCTTTTTAGGGCACCTGCACAGTTCAGGGATCAGATAAAGGATTGTCTTATCTTTTCTCTCTTAGGACTAGGATAAGAGAAAGAGAGGAAGGCTGCAGGGAGGGGTGGGGAGGACGATTGAATAACAGTCCAGTCTCTAAATGGGTTATTTTAAGGAAAGCTGTTCTCCGTCTTCCCAGAGTAAGTGGACCAGCGCAGCAAGAATGTGTCAGGTCAGAAATAAGAAAGATGTCCCTGACAGTGAGGGTCTGACACAGCAAACCAGCACATCAAAAGTGGGATCATGGCGCAGGTCCACACCGTGGAGCAGCATGACCCGAGGGAAGTGGGAATGAGAGAACAGGGGAGGGTGAAAATTGAATGTGGTGAGTTTAGGAAACTGAGATTTACTGTTTTTGAAAATGTTTTGGGTTTGTGTAAGGGTGAGAAATTTTTCATAAGTAGTTATAATATGTGTCTGTCCTTAATAGACTTAAAGGAAAAAAAAACTGGGGTCCCCTCCCATGAGCAAGAGGCTCCTTGTCCCTATACCCCTCTATCCACCCCTTCCCAAAACCCCCTTTTAACTCCACCAAGAGAATGGTGGCTTTCTGCAGGTCACCTTTGGAGTCAGGTTATCTGTCATTATTACCATTACCATCCAGGTGGTGGTACACAGGTGAACCGGCTGAACACAGCCCAAGAGGTACTGGCAAGAAAGGCCCTGTGGTCAGAAGCTCCAGCTGAGCCACCAGTGTCACCAGTACCCAGTTCTGTTGCCTCCTCGGGGTACACCTCTGTGAAGTGAGCTGAGTGGACCAGATGATCCCTGAGCTTATTTCCAGCTCTAACAGACTGGAATCCTGGGACTTACCTGAGAAGCCAGGCTATGCAGCGCCTGCCCTTTACCTGGCCAGCCAGCTGCCCCTCCCTCCTTCCTCAAAGCCAAGCCTGACAAACAGGTCCCTCTCCAGACTAAAGGGTGAACCAGGGAGAACAAGGCCAGCCTTAGATGAGCCACCAGGACTCTAGGGTTCCAGCCGGTGCAGAGGGCTGCTGACTCATGAGGACACCCTCTGCACTCCTGCCCTCCCTCTGACTCTTCTGGTTTCAGAGGAATTCAGTAGATCTATCTGTTGGGAACACAGCAGGTCACAGTCTAATTCTCTGGGGCCTCAGCCACCAGCCCATACTCACCAGAGACCAGCAGTAACCACCTCACCTCACTATGCCTATTTCTCTACCTGGAAAATGGGTTTTAACACTATAATAGTGCCCTCCACAGAGTTGTAAAAATTAAATGAGAAAACAACATAGAACTCTTAGAACAGTGCCTGACCCCTGATAAACAGTAAATGTTGACTATTTTTAGTTATTATTTTATTAAATCCTCGCGGTAGCCCAACAGGGTAGAAAATGTTATTATCCCTATTTACAAATGAAGGAATAGGGGCTTAGAAGAATTAATTCACTTGTTCAAGGTTACTTAGCTAGGGTGTGAGGAAGTCAAGATTTGACTCTAGAGCCCATGCTCTTAGAGCCCCTGATCAGACCCCTCATTCAAACACCCTGTCTATTCAGACTTCTCATCACTTCTCATAGCTTCCCATCTAAGACCCTCTAATGACAATGAAAGGCTTAACAGCAAGTAGATTCAGAACCATTCAGCCCCTCCCATAATCCTCCAGTTCCCAAATCCTGTGCAGCCACCAGGAGGAAAAGAGGGTAGTCAGAGATAGATAAAGTCTTACACGTAAGAGCTGAACTGAAACTCACTCAGCTGGGGCAAGCCCACCGCCTCGCTTTGCCAACCAGCCATAGTCAGGGAGGTAGTGACCTGCCCTTGATCACAAAGCTGGACTTGAGGTCGGGACTACACCTCAGGTCTCAGGTGTAGAGGCCTGGGCACAGGAGAGGGAGAGAGTGCCCAGGCCCATCAGGGAGAGGCTAAGCTCAGCCACACTCACCTCTGAGCAATGCCAGCCTACGGAGCCTCGGGCTCAGGGCTGCCAGTACTGGCAGTTTCTGATCCTGCTCCCTGGCTGCTGCCCCACCTACATGACAGCCCTGGCTACCTCCTCATCAAGGCCTCAGCTAGGGATGAGGTTTGGGGTTGGCATTGGCCTAGGTAGTAGGGAGAGGGGGAAGTGGCCAGTGTTTACTTTCAAAGCTGTGACTAAAGGGTGGGAGCTGGAGAAAAATGTAGAGTTGAAAGGGCAGGAGGGGAAAGATCTAGAGAAAGGATGATTCATGCCCAAGGACTAGAAACCAGGAATCAGGTCATCTGGGTAGCTATTGGAGTGGCTCACAGTCTCTAGGGGCTAAAAAGGACCATTAAGATTCGCCATTGGAAGCCAGAATTTTCCTGAAACACAGTGAGCATTCAGCTTCTGCTGGATACACTCCAGTGACAGGGAGTAAGACTATTCCACTTGCAGGCTGCTTGAATCACCAGAACATTCTTCCTCACAGTGCCTGTTACCAAGACATTCAGACTCTGTCCTATCCTTGCCATGTTATAGATCTGAGTTTGCTCCCCTCTCTTATGGCCCCGATCCCTCATCAGGAAGGAGCCGGCACCCCTCCTTTCTCCTGCAGGGCCCCAGACCCAGCCATCACAACAGCAGAAGCCGGTGGGCTCAGACACAGGACTTGTCGGCTGTCAAGGTTTTCAGGTGGAGTCTTGGGGAAGCATCTCCTTCCCCTGGAAGTGTGGCCACCATGCTCTTAGCCAGTTGAGGCCTAGGCTCAGGCTCCCCTGGGGGCATCTGAAGGGTTAAGGCTCTGGAATCTGCAGAGAGGCCTGTGCTACTGGGGTTACAGCAAGAGGGTGTGTGTGTGTTGGAAGGAGGGGCGGAAAGGAGCAGCTGACTGGTCCAGGCAGCGTGCCCTTCTCCCTGCCAGGAACAGATACCCAGAGCCAGAATGGAAAGAATAGCTCAGAGAACAACATCTCAGGAAACCCCACCTAGCAGGCGCAGGAGGGCAGCCCCTGGCCCACTGTAACCAGGTCTCTTAGGACAGTCTCTTTACCTCCCTCTTCCTTTACCTACCCCAACTCCCCCA